ATAGCCCTTGTGTAGCTTTGTGCATAATTAAAAACAAACAAACAAACTAAGCTCATAACCAACATAGCAGTGTTTACGAGTAACTAACATGGAAATAATTTATGAAACATGTACATGAGTCACAAACAACGAGTAATAACTACTAGATAGTGAATTTATTAAAGGTACAACATATTATCAGAGAAAATACAAAAGAAATTAACCATTCAGTGTAGTGGTATGTGAGCCCTTCGTTTTACACAAAATGTTATAACTTGTTTTCATATTACGCAAACATCAATGTAAAATTGTCGAATATTGTTCTAAATGTCATGTATCAACCCCAAAATTCAGTCATGGTACACATTATAACGCCTCCATGGCTGAAAGGACGAACATGTTTGGTGGGACGAGGATTCCAACCCGCACATTGCGAATCGACTGCCCTAACCACGTGGCCATGCAGTTCTTTAGTAATAGGGAAATAACTGATGCATTACTCAAAATGCTCATAGCTAAAGCTTCTTTTACATAAGCGTTATACACCCTTGATGGATGTTTCTGTTGTAAGACAAGCCATGTCTTAAAAGTGTAAAGCATCTATGAAGTCCTTTACTAGAAGTATGCACAGTAAAAGGAAGAAACTGGTTGGTAAAGTAAGAAAGAAACATCTATCAAGAATGACAGCCAAAAAAAAGAAAACAACATCAATAAAAATTATGACGAGAAGAGGAGAGATATCAATGGTAAGAAAGAGGTTATAACTAAGATGATGGACTTTAATAAAAAATCAGGTACTTTTTAAAATAGTACCTATACTAAATCTAGTTATATACTATAACTATCGGTTATGTATTAGAAGCAATCACGAAAACTGTTGGACTAGTTTATACAATAAATGCCTGTAAACAGGGTAAACAAGTCATATACAATGCCTTTTAAGAAGTCAATATAAAAATAAAAAACACACGAAAATATGCACCAAGACTAAATGATATCCTATGATAATCTAAAACAAAACTCCATTCCTCAAGTTAACTCTAGATTCAATTTTAAAATAGTATATGGTAGTGATAACATGGCTGTGTTTGATGCCGCTGTGAAGCAAACATTTACTGTTTGTTTTAGATATTCGTGCAAAGCTACTTAAAGGATGTATATTAGGTCGTCAAGAATTTAATGTCGCTTTTTTAGATGAAAAAACCCGAACAACTTATACATCAAAACAAAAAAAATTATTAAATGAAATAGTATCTATTCTTATAGATGATTCTTTTCCATCTTACAATCAGGTTGTTAATCCCCTGATTAAAGAAATCTCTTGGCTTTGAAGCAAAAAACATGTCGATGTCCTCTTTAACACTTTCCCTATTTGCATACGTTTTTCCATTAAGATGGTGTTGCAGAGAACGAAAAAGATGGTAATCTGATGATGCCATATCTGGAGAATATGGTGGGTGGGGGAGAACTTCCCAAACCAACGCGCATGTGGACGTGCATTGTCGTGGATAAGTCACCTTTCCGATTGACAAGTGAAGGGCGTTTCTGATGGGCTTAATTTAAACGTTCCAGTTGCTAAACGTAGATCTCTGCATTGACAGTTCGCTGTGGATTGAAGAGTTTGAAATTAATTACTCCTTTGATATCACACCAAATGCGGATGGAGTCCAGGTTTTGGAAGTGGTTTTTGTCTAGGACTGAGTCATTGTTTTTGGTGTTTAAAATTCACAAAGAGAATCCATTTTTCATCATCGGTGACAATTCTTTCCAAAACGGGTGCGCCAGAAGGGACAAAGCAACGTTTACACGTTAGAAACGATGATCATCGGTGAATTCGTGTGGCACCTAAACACCTTTTTTAAGGAATCTTCCCATATTCCTTAGATGTTTACGTATTGTTTCATGCTATCTCAGGGCCATTTCACGAGTGTGTTGCCTTGGGTTAGACTCAACAAGCGCCTTCAGAGCATCAATATCAATTCCAACATATCGGACCTCGCCATCACAGATTTTAAGGCTTAAGTCACCTAAACGAAATTTGCTGAACCATCGTTAACACTTGCGAACGTTCAAAACATTTCCACAAACTCCTTTGATATTCTTTGTGGTTACAGAGGCGTTCTTTCCCTTCTTGTATTCAAACAGCATTACATGACAAATGTGTGTCTCGTCATGTGCCATCACTATAAGGGATAAGAGTATACTAAACTTTACACATTGTTTAGGCGGTTCGTTTAACTATTATACGTGATGTACGTCTTTTGTGGGGTGGTTAATGAAAGTGTTCCAAAACGTGACATTAATTTCTTGACGACCTAATACCATAGCCGTATATAATTATGAACTGATATAATAGAGGGAAAGTAGCTGGTCAACAGCACTCACTACCAACTCTTCGATATTCTAACGAATACTATGATGTTTCTCTTACTGTGCATTCACAGCCCCAAAATGATGAGAGCGATTTTTTCCAACAAAGAGACGCAAACCATGAACACTAAGATCCAAAGTTGGTCCGCATACATCTAAATCTCTTACTGACTACTACATTGAAACTGCGTTAGTAATTACCTTAAAAAACGGGAAAAGGGCAATTACTCATAAATAATTAAAAACAAGAAACAATGATTTCTTCAGAGCATTCAGTTTGACAAAATGCTTATATATATACACGGAGTGGTCACAAGTAAATAGACACCTAATTTTTCGTCATTTTAACTAATTTATGCTAACTAATTTGTGTTTACAGAGCACTATATAAATGAAAATGGTCCGCACACTAATTATCTTGTGCTACAACATGCCTAGAACTCAAGGTTCTCTCGAATTGTCAGTTAGAGGAAGGATAGTTGGTCAAGCAGATGGTGTAATAAGTCAGCGGCAAATTTCGCAGAATTTGGGAAT